TGGGGAAAAACACCATCAAGCACCCAAATATTTATGCTTACTTCTAGATAGGTGTAGAAATCCAACGGCAAACCAAGTAAGAGGAAATGAAGCTTTTGCGAGTTTTCCAGTACTACTAGATGGTGTAGAAATCCAACGGCAAACCAAGTAAGAGGAAATGAAGCTTTTGCGAGTTTTCCAGTCGCTATGAAAGCGGTGAAGAGACGCTTATCGATTCCTACAAAAAATATCTGGTCCAAACTCTGCATGAAGTAGGTACCCCTTTTAAACAACAGTTTGTTGAAACGCGCAAACTTTGGGGGAGGTACACATTATCAGATTTTATTCCGCTATATTGTAGCCTCGTACATGCTGCCGTCGTTACAATAGACCTGTACGTGCAACATATCAGAGGTGAATTGAAAGTAAGCACCACAATCAAGCGAGATATTCCACCTTGCTGATGTCAGCGCACCTCAAAATCAAACTGTACACCATGGTTTCTGATTGAGGAGTTTCAAAAAATATAACAAAACCACTCACCATTTGTGAAGCATTGCTTCACTTTTGCCAATAAGCAGAAGAAAGAATAGTTAGAAATCATAATGGCAAAAAAAGACAACGTTTGAATCTTCAGTATTTTGTTACTGTTTGTAGTTTTCAACTAACAACGTCTGCGAAAAAGATGCATTGCCTAAAAACGCATAAGATTGAGGTAACTGTTCGCATTATCACACGCATTTATATCTGGTAAAGTATTTGACTTTTTTTAAATTGCATACCTCTAGAGCGGCTCTGTATTTCCAAAGGCTATTCTCTTTTTTCTACGTTTGCAAAAATTGCTGCCTACCGAGGCATTTATGGTGGGGAGGAGCATCGTCGTTTAAAGAACAAAAGTTTCAGTGCTGCTAAAATTCAACCGCATAAGTCACTGCCCTTAGGTTTCAGATTTCTTTTGTGAACTGACTTTTTATGCATAGAATATTCCAAGCGTGATACATAATTTCAAGTTGTTCTCATTTATTTTTATTTAAAAATGTGTCGAAGTTTTTAGCTTTGACAGAATCTGACAGAACGCAGACAGGGAAATTAATCGGAAGCCAGTCAATTATCGTCAAATAAATATAATGAGCGGTAAAATTGAAAAAAATGTAGGAACACTACTTCAAGCATTTCAATAGTATATTAGCTCACCACCAGCTGACAGTTCTCGTACTAGTAAATTGTGATTTCGGGGGGTAATTTATTTTGTATGGCATTAACTTTTTCCACACACATGACATGTTCAGTAATCTATATACTTGTCTAAACGTATTTAAATGATGACGGCATATACTGCATAAAAGGGTATTTTTTGTACACAGCAACAAATGTGTGAAAGTGTGGTCTATCTGGGCGCGATAGTGATACTTCCTGATACAGCAACTTTACTTTTCAGCTAAGCACGTGGAAGCTGCTGTGTTAACCTTGACTATCATGCATGTACCGGCCTTCCTTTTTAATACTTGCAAACCAAGGATGAACCTCAGTGAATAATCGTTATATTTAGTTAACGAAACAAGAGCATATTCGTCCTATTTCGGCAAGCCCGAAATTCCATGATTTTGCTTGCAAATGATTTATCCGAGGACAACTTTTACAAACTTTATACAATTATGAAACTTTGGATGTTTTTAGTATCTGTTCACACAAATAATCTATTGAGAAACTCATGCATTCGACTTGGTGTTACCGCTATGCGGTGCATTATTATCGGTCTGAAAAACGGTTTCAATCGTTGCGGGTTGTCACAGTAACTTTAGGTGTATTCATGGCGGAGATTTTCAGGCTTAAACCGAACTGATTCCTGCGATATCAGTTTGCATCCTCATCGAGATATGTAATGTAATGCAAGATATGCAATTTCACGCTTTTTCAGCTGTTATTCCTTTGTGATACGCGGTCTCACAAAATGAGGGTAGCCCAAACTTTTATGACATTTCTTATGCAGGCAGTGGATGTTTGCACCAACCAAAGAGAGAGTGAAACTCACGGCCTGGAAAGCACTTTTGAACTTCATTGATTGGATTAGAAATGACAATTTTTATTGATATCTAAGAGAGGATTTTAACATTGCGCGATCACGTACTAACTTTACGTTGTATACAACATTGATGTGAATGTAAGCATATGCCTAAAACAGCCTGCTACCACTCTTACCCTCTGTATATGTGGGAAAAATGGATAGATGGCATAACAAAAAATGCTTTAAAAGTAGCACATAATTTGTAAAGTGTTAATTAAGCCTGTTAGTAGCTTTGCCTGCTTAGTGATTCAGCCATGGAAGATCGATGAACCACATATATTATATCATTTGAATCTTTCATTTGCGCAAAATGGCCTGCTTAAATTGTACAGCCTGCATGCTGCCGAGCTCAATAAGTGATTCCTGTGCTACCGTCTGGCGTTCGGATATCAGGCATGCACAAAATAGAAAAATGGAACGATAAACCTGGTAAAATACAATGTAGTGGAATAATCTATACTCCCATGGAATATTATTCTGTGGGACCAAACGCCCTAAATTTTAATGATTTTAATGATTTGACGGGTCATCTTATTTAAATATGATGTTTGTAGCATAAATTTGCATCACAAACTCAAATTGAATCGCTACTTGAAATCGGTAGGAGAAATTTTGTTTCTTATTTTCGCAAGTATTACGTTCTAACCACTAAAAATATGTCAGTACTATACCCACCAATTCAGCACACGATATTTTTCTTGGCTGCATCATGTACATAGTTCCACTTACTGCATGTTCTAGTGAACGTTACAACTCACCCTCAAATACGCTCACTGTACATGATTTGTTTGTTAGATAGCCAGAAGATTTAGTAAACGTTGCTCGCGACGAATAAACACGAAGTTGCTTTGCATTAGGTTATGTGGTTTTGCTGTTAGGAAAGCCTAAGTAACCTAGTAGGAATCGTCTAATTTAGCTGATGGACGAAATAGAACAAAGCTCCTAAAACAGTTAACACGTGTTCATTTCTGAAGCGCTTCCGGTTCGACAGTCGACAAAATTAGACGCAATTCGTTACAAGGAACCAACACTTAAAAAAAGGGAAAACATGTTTCTTAAAGTCTACGGAATAGTCGTAAAATGTACACAATTAGGAACACAATTAGAGCTATTTTAAACCAATTTGCACATTTTTGGATGAGGCTACAGAAACTCTCATTTAATTACCAAAATATTATGGACAGATGGAGAACCGGAGAATAAGAAAAAGAGCAAAGTTATTAAATGTCAGTTTTTGGACATTTGTTTGTAGAGTGATTTGCTCTGGGTTCTCGTCTGAGTATACCTCTTTATTTCAAACATACATTACCCAAGCGAACTGAATGTCATTTGTAATAAATACCGCAGTAATCCATCCAGATCACCACTCGCACTTAGCAGTATTAGAAACTATCAGTCTAACAAGGTAGAATCCGGTACGCTGAGGTGAGCAGAATATTTGTTGGAGTTCTTGGTGTCAAATGTCGCCGGATATTACGAGATATAACGTCTGAATCAGTGTATTCAGTACATTGATATTTGATGATAATAAATAATTTATGTAGTGAATACGTACAACCCAGGCATGCCCTCAAAATAAACGTGTGCAAAAAATTGCATAATTGTTGGCAATAAGCGTCCAGGCAGACAAACTGGAAGAACACTTCGGCTGATAGTAAAAAATAGAGTTATTTTAAATCCTAGTTTTCGGGGCATGTGGGAGAACTTGTTTAGATAGTTTATTTATTTCTAGGTGAACGTAAATGTACTTTACAGTAAGTAGTAAAGTTTAACATTCAGAGTGAAGCAACGCCTCGCCCCCTACTTCAATAAATATTTAGCACCAAATAAACGCATCAATTGTATACAAAGTGTAGTCACCTGATTGGCCTGACACAGGAAAGTTAAATGAAAGTACAGTGTGATAAAGTGGGTTTCCAGAAATCGAAAAATTTGGTAATTTAGACTTTTAGTAATGCGCACCTGAGACTGTTGAAAACGCACACAAATGTCTCCAACATATGTGTAGTAACGGTATTTTCCTCAGCTTAGTTCTCGGTCTGAGCCTCCCAAGGTAGCGTTCACGTCGAAATAACCACCAAAGGTGCACAAGGTCTATTAACGCCCAAAACAAAGTCAAGAACAGTTGTACAGCGCCTCATATATATAGCGTAAGCGGTCATAACTTTCTGGAATTTCCGCCGCGTTCTGGGTGCGCCATTGGCAACCGGCATTTGGCCAATACTGGGTCATGATTGGCTGTTGGGTCCGGATTGTTGACCAATCAGATCTCGTCTTGATGTCGGACCGGTAAGCGTCCCGAATTCTGGGCCAACCTCGAGCGGGACAGGCTTCTCGGCCGTAGCAGCGCCTAGAGACGTGCGGTATAGTAGGATCCGAGTGGATTCCCGACTAACACCTCCCCCTTGAAATTTGTTGACGTAGCTTCGAAGCCGGGGGTTCACTTTCAGTGGCCTCACTAGCCTGCGGATCCTGTCTGTCCAGCGTCGCGGTTGTAATCCGTGCTCAGGCTGGGCTTCTGACGAAGCAACTGATTAACTTTCTGGGATGGCGCCGAGGTCAAAAGTGTTCAGAAGCATTTCTAGACTCAAATCGCTCTGTCCTGTGGGCAGGATCGTTGCACCTGTCGGCCGGATTCGGTTCGCCTGGCGCATCCACTTGGCTGGACCAACTTGAATCTCGTAGAGCACTTTGCCGCGCCGGCGAAGGATGAGTCCTGGGGTCCACGTAGGGTGTCTGCCGCTGTAGTCACAAACCAACACTCTATGGCCTTTGCTGAATGCGCGCAAAGTTGCTCCATGATGCCGGTTGAACTGTCCCTCAATTCTAGTGTTGCGGTGACTAGCCTGCCTTTTTTGTGGCCGGATAGTGTCAGGCGGTGTTCGAAGACTCCTTCGGAGCAGTGCCCCTGCTGGTGATACTCCATCAGGTGAGTTGGGGTTTGCCGTCGCTCGATATGCCAGCAGGAACCTTCGCAAAATTTCTTCCGATGGTCCCTCCCCTCTGGACTTCTAAAGTGCCCGCTTCAGAGTGTCAAGAAAGCATTCCGCTTGGCCGTTCGACTGTGGATGAAACGGCTGTGAGCGTGTATGCGTTATGCCATACGACAAAAGTGTGCAAACGCCGACGACGTAAACTGGCTGCCGTTGTCGGATACAATAGTCTCTGGCGTCCCAAAACGACTGAACAATCGCCGGAGTTCCAGGCCTGTAATGACGGTTGTGGGGCTGTTCAACGGAAAAATTTCCGGCCATTTGCTGTAAGCGTCGACTACGACCAAAAAGTGTTGGCCACCCACTGGACCTGCATAATCGATGTGAAGACGAGACCAGGGTTGGATGCGGCAACGAGCTTAGGCAGGTTTTCACCCGTGACTTGGATGCTTCAGCGCACCGCAGGCAAGATTCCGAAACTTGTTTGACTTCTTCGGACTGCCTAACAATATGTATCACCACCGTAAAAATTTTGGTCTGAAAGTACGGGTGACTTAACAGCAACCTGATAAGTAGACGTACCCCAGGCTTTTTGTTGCAGTGAATGTTGATGAAAAATTATTCGAAGCGCTCAACATAAAACAACATCATGTCACTGTGAAATCAAAGAAATTTACTTGCAGCTGAGACCTTTCGGATATTTTTCGTAAGAACCGGACTATGTACACTTACTAAACGGATAAGCTTTCAGCGCTTGCATGTCAACAAAACCTTGTAAAATATGAATTCTGCTTGCGCACAAAATTTATGGTTAAACACATGAAAGGCGCTTACCAGTTGTTAAACATTCCGTGACTTAATGTTCAAAGCAGGCGCAAAACACTATATATGTCTGGTGGAATATACATTTTCTCAACTGCTTTTCAGGTACAAGTTCAGCCAAGTAACTTAGCCATGCATGCTAAATATTGGATCATGGCTGGCTAATCAGAGTATGAACAAAAGCATTTGAGTAATGTAAACTGTCAGATAATATGTTTAGCTGTCAGTCTAATATGTTTCAGAAACATCCACAAAATACTCATTAGGCGTGAATTGAGCAATATTCAATTAGTTTGATCTATATCCTAATTAATGCCGTTCAAACTTGTTCCAAGTGAGAATTCGTGCGTTTTAAACATTGTGAAGAAAACGTAGTTGATGCACTGACACAAAGTGAGGCTAATGATTTGGTCTGCGCCAAAAATGGACTCACACGCGAATTTACCGGTTCCTAAGACAGTACTTACTTTATTGGGTTGAGAGAAAACAGACCTAGTTTGTAAAACACAGCTAAAGACATATTTGTAGGCCGTATAAAGTTGGCGGAAAGTCAAAACTGGCATGTAATTTATAACAATTCCTGTAGTATGAAGTACAGTTTACTGAACACTTCTAGCAAAAATATGGTATCATATCACATGCGGTTTTCGGGAGGTTGAAACTTCCATTTCAATAACGAAGTGACAGCGTCCCAACGTCTGGGGTGTATTAATTGCAGCTGATTTATGTTCACCCTAATATGTTGTGCACGCGTTTTGCAAGTGTTTTCATTGGTGGGGCCGTTAAATGAGCGTATTTATAGGATACAGAGGAAAGTATTTTAGTCCCCTTTTATCAATTACCGGAAAACATGGGAGACTTCTCGCAATTTTGACCTCTGTCTGTTTCGCGAATCAAGCAACAATGCATGGACGCGGATCATTTCCTCACCGTATATATCAAATATAAGCCACGCAAAATATTTCGGCCTTTATTTCGGCAATCGTGTTGCCCAACGTACCAGCCTGCTTGCAAATCATTACATTATTAAATAAATAAACCTACGCTTTTGCTGGCAGTCTGCCTCTGCGTGTTGAAAAATAAATAATGTAAAGAGTGCGATGTTGGCCATTTCATTCGAGCTTATCCACAGGGTACTCTAGATGTACGAGTCTTACAGTGTATCCTGATAATATTCCTCATTGGAAACAGAGGGGAAACTTGTCAAATGCAAGACATACTTGCTGTGTCTGTGCTCGCCAAAAATGTAAGATAATATGAAGCCTTTCACAAGTGAGAAGTTTCTAGTCAAAATATTACACATTGTAAATTGGATGGTATGCTTACTCACCAATCATTAAACATGTATTCACTTTTTTCGTTGGAATTAAGAAAACGCAATAACATCCGGTAAAACGCGGTAGTCCACATGACCTTTTCGTCTACACACCAAGTGGCTGCTGTTGGGATCAAATTCAAGCAAATCTATAATCCTGCGGTTTTGACCTCTGCAGGAATGAATTGTTTTTTTATCCACAAACCCAAACACAATCTAAGGAACTATGCACATCTTCTGCGAAGTGTCTGGTCGATGCCCGCTGAAATGAAAACAACGTCACTTGGAGCGGTAATGGGAACGAATTATGCTGAATGGTAAAAACGCGCTCAAATAATTAATGAGAGATGCACAGATATGTGGAAGTCCTTTGTTAACTGCGTGCCGCTTGATCATTGCGAAGACGCCATGTCAAGAGTAGCGTAAGGTGCGTTACCTGCAACGCACATGTATGGCGCCAAAACCTTCGAGCGATATAATCTTGCCTAACAATCAGGATAACTTGCACGAATCCTCGTACCGTGAGGGTATAAACTTTTGTTTCACTTGTAGTTGTTTTACACCTATATGTATAACATTCATTATGGTGAAAATTATTGTGAGATTTATATCTGCAATATTTGGTAATCCAGGATTTCCTGTTTGCATTTCGATTACGTAAACGATAGTTTCCAGTCGAAACGCAAATGTGTTATTTTTCCTTAATAGAAACAGTACTTTGCACTCATAATTAAATTTTATTCATTTTTTCTTACTGAAATCTTACCGGCTTCTTCGTTTGTCTTCACTTTAGTGTTTACAAAAATTCAAAGGATAAGAAATCCTCATGAATGTGTAGCAGGTGGGGGAAGGCGTCTTCTACGGGGCTTAATTATGTGGTAATTTGAAAAGTCATAAAATAATATTGGAGAAACATCTTACGTTCTGTTTGCGTTAGATTGCGTAGTGAAAAGCCAACGACTTTCATCCTGAACAGAGAGAGACGTATACCTTAACCTGCATACGCTCAAAGGCTTCTGGGTATAGTGCTCTGTCCTTTAGTTTAAGGTATCTATATTTTCAAACTTTAAGTCTGAGGTGGTTCAAGGAAATCAGAATGAAAGTACAGTTAGATACATCTTAAATCCGGGTTTCAAGCACGCTTGTGGTTTTTGGTAAGCAAGTAAATAAAACAGACTTTGGAATCAGTTTACGTTGCTCCTGGCTTATGGATTGCTCAGATATGCGCCTGAATAAACTCTAATCTACATAGATTTCACGAGTTAGCATGTCAGTCCTAGTTGCTGAGCGAATCAGTTGTTGATAAAAGAAATAAATAGATCAGTAGAACGCTGGCTAGATTTGGTACCGGAAGCATCTCCTTGAACAAATCTGCAAGGAGTTCAATTGAGCCAAATGACCGGGAAAAATATTATTTTTGGGATGCTTCGACATGTTTGGACGCAGCATGTGTTACTTTCTATTCAGCAATTATCATTACAGGCAAAGCATCAAGCGACAAAGGTAGAAAACCATGTCGTTTTCCTGAACTAAATGCGAAATTGCGCGGGAGGCCACAATGATATAGTCATTGGTGCTACTGTGATGTGATCCTTAGGTGCGATAAACCTTTCTACAAGCATGCGCAGTAGTGCTGCATTAAGCAAGCGGGTAACAGTACAATTCATCCTGTCTTCATGGCTTCCGTAATGTTGGGTGGCCATTATTGAATTTTACTCTGTACATCTACGTACATACACGCTATTTGGACCCCACATCCTCTTCAGAAATCAAGACCCTCTTTAAACGTTTTTGAAAAAATCGATTCCTGGTTGCTTTCAAGCGTTTTAGAAAAAAGTAGTCAAATTTATAAGCAACAGCAAGTTAAATAAATGTGCATGTTTTCAGACGAAATTTGCACGAGATAGGAACTTAATAAACTACTCATTTGTGAGAAGCATCCAGAATGTTCAAAATTCCAATCTGCGTGACGCCAACCACGCAAGCACGAAAAGAATGAAGTCTTGGAATTCAAAAATAGTTGAGAGAAATGAGTGCTTAGCAACACTCATTGAAGCCTGTAGCAACAACCAAATTTCCAATGATGCACAAACTGGAGCCGCCTTGATTTGGTCATTCTCGGGGCCTCATGAAATTTCATCAGCCATGTTAGCACCCCAATGATTGCAAGACTCACTTTCTGTCACACAAGTGTCTAGGTGTTTATCCGATTACGTAACAAGTTATTAGGTAGCAAAACATATTTTAACAAGTTTGTTAAAAAAGTCGTTTAGGAGATAATTAGTTTCTTTTTCATGCGTTCGAGTTTGAAATACACTAAAAAGACTAGCGTCTGGTAGACAAATGTCAAGCATAATGTATTTACGCGGCAGTAAATTGTACATTTGAGCATACAGGAGGCCAAATATACGCCGGGAAGTTCAGCTTGTGGGCACTTAGATTGACAAACCCACCATCCTAGCCTGCACGCCTTCAATTGATCACACAGACGCAATCGTGATGATGACGAAAATAACATTTATTTATAACAAACAACTGAAGTCAAGCAAATAAATAGTAAATATCGACCTTATTATTTGACCAGCATTATCTTTGTAAAGCGGAAAATCTGAGAGCTCGAGGGACCGCAGATATTGAGCAAAAATGTGATGTAGGGAATTTTATGATATCCGGCCACGGTATGTAAAATCCTCGCATACTTTTACTTCTGAAAGCACATATCCAGTTTTTCAGGTGATATGCCATTTGAGGTACACCCATGTTCCCAGACAGAACATCCAATATTAACATTCAGGTAGGATTAAATGCAGATGGAACAGTATCAAAGCTTGACGTTTTTTTGAAAACATATTGTGCCTATTTCGTGAATCAAAAAAGAAGTCACCTGTTTGTAAACTGTTCAAGAGCCTGATGTTCGCGTTTGCATATAAACCCAGTATTTGTTACTGTTGGGTTCAAACGATCACTATGTTCACCAACTTACCTCCTGGAAGACATGCTTTCACTGTAGTTAAAAAAACGAAATGATAAGCTTTGCAACACTTATCATTGCCCACACAAATGACAAGCGTCTCATTAGTGTGCCAACGGCATCAATCCACATGTTATTATTGAATAGTTCATTCGTCACCTTAGCCGCACGTGAGGAAAGCCCATGTTTTTGCTGTTTTCAAAGCGCGTAGGTGCACGTTGATTTTACGACAATACTGCATTTTTATGTGAGCCGTTAACCATTACGAAACACATTTGAAAGAACTCGTTACCACGCAATCACATGCACCACATACTGTTCTGCTAATATTGCAGTTCCATAGCGTAGGCCATCTTGACCAGTGGTCTGGTTTGGCTAAATGCTGAGGCTGCCAGATGGTTTCGACTAGGCGCCCAAAAGTGGAGAACGATTTTTGAAGCCAAACGTGACATGGACCGATGTGTTTTTGGGAGCAATGACATTCCTTAATCTGATTATGGCGATTTTTTCATGCCTGTACCGGTGGTAGTGTACACCTGATGACGTGAGTGCACGTCCTTCAAAATATTCAAATGCTTTGTTACACCTTGTAATAAATTTCCATTGAACTTCTGGTATGTGTGTAGAATTTTATGCTTTTATATCTCCTACGCAAAATCGCAACGTCATCTGTGTCATAGTTTCCATAAGTATCCAACGTGCGATGGTTATGAATATTATGGACAGCTCTTGATACACTGAAGCGTTGCTCCTCTACAAGAATACCGTATGTAGGTAACTCACTATCGTCTGATAGGGATTTTACTTGAGAATGCCAGAAACAGGAGACGCGTATGCCAGCGGCTATGGAAAAATAAACTAATTTTGATGCCAACGGAGATACATTCTGTAAACACAAGCACAAATATTGCAAGTAGGCTTTCATGCATTCATTCACACTTGATGGGAACATTCCATGGATTGACGAGCTGGATCTGTCAGGCAAAATCACATACTGCTGGATAAAGCTTGACTGCAAATCAAGTAAGAAATTGCTTTTCTCACAATATTATATTCTCCAACCAACGTTGTGATTTTCGTTACTAGTTGACGTATGTAAAAAGCAGGCTTTACGAAGAAAACCCTGTACTTAGATAAGTAAACAACGAGTTACATTTGCTGCTCACAAACGCTCAATAAATTGGACGCATAATGTTTTTTCTATATATGTGAATATGGTCTATTATCCATATCCGCTTGGGCCTAGAAATTTTGGAAATTATTTTTCGGTGTAAGTAAGTAGGTGGGTTATCATATAAGATTGTCGAAAATCAATGCAGACAACCCGTGGACTGAATTTCATTATCTGGTTTGGCAGGACTTCATTCCATTTGATAGTTGCGTACAAAAGGAATTGGTACAAGAAAGATGCTCGTAAGTCGTTTGAAAGCGTTCTAATGTGTGATTTGCCGAACCGACGGACGATCTTAATAAATTTGCACATGACAACAAAAGATAGACTTCTTCCTAAAATTTTGTTTCTAAAAATGAGCTTGGGGCAAAATATCAAAAAAAATTATGCTGCGCGGATCTTTTGTGACATTCGTAGATGGCGACTGGGGCCCTCAGCCGAAATGAAGTCGTACCTGATAATTTTCGTTACGCGAGTTTCGCTGTGCCTCGGAAATTATCCAAGCATATGTGAATCCATGTTGTGCGAATTTTCTTATGATATGCACTAAAAAATGTGGTCGAAAACTTGTTCACGCCTGTGCCGCTGGAATATCGACCTTAACTCTTTCGCCTAACGAATGGGCCTGGAGTTTTTCAATCACTGCACCTTTTATAAATATCTAATAAATGTGCACTCAGCCCGCGGAACAGGTTAAGTTTTCTGAAACATCCCCGGTTGCTTCCTTTTTATGAAGTCGGAGAAATTGAGAGAAACATTGAGCCTGAAAACAGTTCTGTTTCATCGTCTATTTAGAAAGTGTTCATTTCTACTATACATTTCCCTCCACCTGGGCGAAATGTTGACATTTCGCGGTGGCAGCAATCACAGTTTGTTTTATTAAATACACGTGCATTAAAGAAAAACACACGTGTGGCGCAAAATATTCCAGGGAAAATGTGTGCGCACAAATTCCTGTTTCCGATTTAGTAATTGACTATCAGTATGCCACTAATTAGTAGGTGACCTTAAACGTGCGGTAATAATTGTGCTAGCGTCTGCATAACTGCGTTGAACATAACTACGGTAAATCGCGCTTCATTACTTCGGTAGCTAGAAACGTCTTCCTTGTTGCTAGAGCACACAAGCAAGCATAAAGTTGCCTGATGGACGCGCATGGGCTCGACTGTAAGATACACGACGATTTTTTCATTTTGTTCAAAGGTGAATCTGTAAGATGATGAAGAAAGTTTTAAGTTAAGCTACTCTCATGCCTGTCGTTTTTACAGACTATCAGTATGCCACTAATTAGTAGGTGACCTTAAACGTGCGGTAATAATTGTGCTAGCGTCTGCATAACTGCGTTGAACATAACTACGGTAAATCGCGCTTCATTACTTCGGTAGCTAGAAACGTCTTCCTTGTTGCTAGAGCACACAAGCAAGTATAAAGTTGCCTGATGGACGCGCATGGGCTCGACTGTAAGATACACGACGATTTTTTCATTTTGTTCAAAGGTGAATCTGTAAGATGATGAAGAAAGTTTTAAGTTAAGCTACTCTCATGCCTGTGGTTTTTTCACCTCATTGTACCGTGATCTACAAGCAGGAAATTTTGGTGCAGTTTACACCAGTCTTACAGATAGCCGCGCAAATTATGCTAAAAAACCTGAAAGATTTCACCATCGGCAGTTTGTTTTAAGGCTAGGGAGAGGTTGAAATTGCAAGAGTGAGTTGAGCAAATTCTTCCCCCAATCGGGAAGTAACGTTCCCAGGGCATCCAAAGACAGTCGTTCCCTAATAAGATTGCAAAGGCATCTCACCCCTCCGTTCCGAAGAAATAAATTCATGGCATTTTCAAGCAAGACCAAGGTGAGATGGCAGCACCGATCACTAAAAACGTCAATCTAAATTTTGGCAATGTTTAGACAGTAACAGCACAGCAGAGAGATAAATTCGGGATTTAGAAGCGTGTATACCACCACGGTATTATTGGTGCTATTCTTAAAAATAAATATAAAATTCAATACGTATATGACGGAGAATAATAAACTGTCTCCCGTTAGAAAATGATACATCAGCGACAGAAGAGGGGGCGTAATAAAATTTTTATTCACGGTGAAGCCGTGAAAACTCACCCAGGCTTTTGCACGTCTCCACTGGTATATTTTGGCAATTATGACTGAAATTAGCCGTGCACTTGGGGAACAATAATGCTACACACGAAGCTTGTCTTCGATAAGACATTTATACCTTGTGGTGTTAAAGTATTCATATGCTGTAACACAAAACTAGCTCACTTGCTTGTTGTGCATAGAGAACGCAAGACACTGCACTAAACAAAAGAACATCGTAAGTCACAGAATCGGTAGCATTCGGAAGGGGTTCACATTTCTTTTATTCGACAAAAATTGGTTGTGGTCTGTTGAACAGATTAAACGCCGCTTTTTTAATATTTAAGGGTATCGCCAAAAACGTGTAGGCTGTTCCAAATTGTTTAATATTTCCCGCAGAAATTTTCAGCAATGAAGTTAGGGGCCTGAATGATGTCCTCTATGGGTTCGATATACGATGGACGTGATATTTCCTGTCATTATTTTTCGAATACATTTGATTTCTTCTGCGTTGACAGCATCAGTCGCTCCTGCTGACTGAAGATATTGAGGCATTCATGATTGTTGGAAGTGAAACAGTCTTAAATTATGATTTGCAACCAAATTTGTTTCTTTCATTTTTCATAGGAACTAAGAAATACTCCGTGTTTGTATCATTCCCTTGTATCCTGAAAAATATTGCAACAAACCAAGATTTAGGGAACTTTTAAGACAAGACGGTGTCCTTTTTTGTGACGTTTATTTCATTACATCTAGGCGACATGAAGTATACAGCACTTTTTGCTTTAATGAGAAATACAATTTGTGTTAATCAATCAATGGATATTGGGCATTCGATGAGGGAAAATGGACATTTCCTGAACTGTGGGTTTTCGAGATTTCCGTAGTGAAAAAGCACTCCGGCGTTTTGTGGCGGCAGCAGCATACATGCAATATGTCAAACGTTCTGTTCCACCATAATCAATCAGCACAAATGTAAAATTCTCCATTCATTATGTGCAGGTAAAACGCTGTTAAATCCTTGTGGAGTGTTTAAAGTGCCCGGTATTTTTAATGTTTAGTTTGAAATTGCTTACTTCTTCACCTCGCGCAGATTTTGGAAGACATTCTCCCACTGGCCAATCTATTTTTAGAGTTCACACGAAATGTTCGTTGAATTTCCTCACACTAACTAAAGCTTTTGTGATAACCTATGTTGTTTTGCACTCAGTTACTTTTTGGCATTCGGTCTCAATCATGACAATATTAAATACAGGATGCTTGAGGCCTGCATCGATATACAGCAGAAGATATGGGTGAAAAGCTCCCCGTCGAATGTTAGACGAGGTATTCAATGCCAGATCTCTAGCCTCACTCCGTCAAAACTGGCCTCTTAGCATGCGGACACAATCGTAGCCCAGGACCTCGACAGCAGAAGCCGCAAACTTGACGGAAGCAAACCGAAAAATCTCATGTACACCCAGTTGCCCATCCGGATCGCGAGCGACGCGGGTGCCTACATAAACACGGAAAAAGACGACTGCAGCCAAATAAGCCATGTGGGATTCGCCGAATCAGGGAAAAGGCTGGTGTAAGTTCTCTACGAAGGCGAGGCCCATGGGTGCGACATCAGAAGAATAAGTTCTCGGTATTGCCACTCAGCGCACGGGGCATCACGGAGACATCTTTTCCTTTGAAAAGCGCAAAAGTGACCAAAAAACTAAACATACGAATTCTTGTATCTAACTCTCGATCATCAACATATGAGGCCTCCCAAAAATTGGAAATAAAAGAGCTACAAGTAGCAACGTCCGAAATTTCCATATACGGGGTAAAACCTCGGCCCCATTGGTTGAAAGCTTGCGTAAACTGAGATCTCACGGACCGAAAAAACTTTAAAAAAACAGCGCTTAAAACCAGTTAGACAGCAAACAGACGAATGTGCCCCAGAGACCACTTTAGAACCTTGTAATCAAATCTGAACTATCGTTATTAAATCTGCTAACATCTCTGTTTTCACACATCTCGGCCCCTCACCTTCGGAGACAGCGGAGATGGTATTGAAATGCTTGTTCACAAATTGCCTCAGGCTCTTCTGCAAACTTTGCGTCATTGAATTATCAGTTTGCCTTAAACAGCGGTCTGTAATCACACCCAATGCGACCTGACCCACACCGGATGTCTCTGACTTGCAGAGAACGATAGACGGCCATTCTTTCTTCGAACTGACTCAAAACGGGACAGAGCTAGTGGGGTTGATATGTACCTGCATGCGGCCGTGCCTATCCCAATTTTTCTCGCTGATACCAATCCTGTCCCGTTTTGCAGTTTACTGTGCATTCAAGCCTCGTCCAACGGATCGATCCTCTCATTAGCGGTCTACCTTTGCCCCTCGAATCCGCCTGAGGATAAGCAGTTCCTCATATTGACCCTCGAGCAACTCTCCTCTGGCTACTGAGCCTTTCATCCTCTGCTATTAGATGACCTCAAATATACAAAGACCTCCTGGATGGGGATTGAGTGCGTATACTCAAGAGGACTTTGGCATCGGCGATGATTGAAGTCATTCAACAGAGAAAGACGATACGCTGATGTCCAACGCTCCATTTGGACAAAGCGACCACGCCATATTGACCTTTGATTCCATCTGCTATTAGGCCAGACTTTCCGAAACCCAAATGTGTATTCGAAGCTTCTGTCTTGGAGATCTTTTAAAAATGTGCATTCATTTCATCAAGTTAAACTGGGACCAGCCTCGGCCAAGGTCATATTAGAACGATTGTCCAGAAGGATCACGAGACTGCCGCCATATTCATTCCGAAATAATCAGCACGCAGTCGGATGAGGCGCAGGTTACTGAAAGGATTTGGTGTCTTCTATTTTTCAAAATGTTGACTATATGGGACGCACCATTTGGACCGACCACGCCATATTGACCTTTGATTCCATCTGCTATTAGGCCAGACTTTCCGAAACCCAAATGTGTATTCGAAGCTTCTGTCTTGGAGATCTTTTAAAAATGTGCATTCATTTCATCAAGTTAAACTGGGACCAGCCTCGGCCAAGGTCATATTAGAACGATTGTCCAGAAGGATCACGAGACTGCCGCCATATTCATTCCGAAATAATCAGCACGCAGTCGGATGAGGCGCAGGTTACTGAAAGGATTTGGTGTCTTCTATTTTTCAAAATGTTGACTATATGGGACGCAGAAAATGATCTTGGATTTCGTGAAACGCGGAACTGCTGTAAATCAGAAATAAACCAAAGAAACATACAAAAACAGGCCACGGTTCATGATCCCACCCGGGGAGCAGTAACCTGCTGTGGAAATTCATGAGGAATTACCACAGAAACAAGCCATCCTCGTCCTCATTGATGGATAGGAACGTGGCTCTCATCGACGACAAATCGGGGGTGTGTGAGGTCTATAGAAAACACTCACTGGTCTATATTACTCGCATGGACTTCCAAATACTCTATGGGGCCTACGTCAGACCGCTCCT